AGCTAGTATTATAATACTTAAGAAAACTAAATTAAAAAAATCTCTACTAATTATTATAATACTTAAGAAAACTAAATTAAAAAAATCTCTACTAATAATAAATAGAAAAATATTAAATTAATATTAAAATTTAAGTATAAATTAGAATATTAAAAATTATATAATAATTTTAAATATCTAAAATATAGATTTAATATATAGATTTTTTAGGCCAGGTAGCCGAACGGTTGGTCCCCGTTTGGTGGCAGGTCCCGCACGTCCACCCTGATCAGATTGGTGCCTGGTTTGTAAGGTGTCGATATGCGGGAGCGTGGGTTCGAATCCCACCCTGGCCGCCCTACGCTCGGGTGTCCCCCCGGGTTAACGAGACGAAACCACCTATGAAAAAATTCTATGAGTATAAAATGAAAAAATATAGAAAAAAACAGTTATAATATGTGGGTGCCCGAGGTCACTCGTCATCCGGCTTGCATGCCGACTTTTGTACGGTAATTTATAAACCCCTACATATTGCAAGCGAATAGGTTCCGAATTTGAATATTTCCACACGCCCCTACCTATAATAGAATTATAGGGGGTTTTTTATCCAGTTTCTATTAAGGAACAATCCTACTAATAAATACTATGAACCCTATTTTGAGGTCAAGAACTACAATGTAACTTACATATGTTATAAAAGTTATGAACCTTGGCAAAAACCTCATTATAATGAACCGCAATGCAATATTTAACCTGTATCATTGATTTCCTTATAAGGATTCATGGTTTTCCCCCTGTATATAGAGCACAACAGATTACCCAGACGTCCCTAGTTGGACATAGTGGGATAAGGATATATATATATATAGATTTTTTATATTAAAAATTAATACAGTATATATCTAGATATAAAATAAAAAAATAACTATTTTTTAAGAGTTAAGGAAAAAAGCTAGAAAATTATAAATAACTAAAGAAAAAATAAAAGAAATTTATTAAAGAATTTATTATTATATTTAAAAAATTAAAGTAGTAGGTAGAAACTAGAAATGTATAAAATAMTTAAATATCTAATAGATAAAAATAAAAAACTAGAGTAAAAGTAATATTTAAAAATAAAAATAAAATTTTAAAAGAAATAAATTCTAGAGAATTACTAAAAAATC